AATGAGAAAACTGCTACAGCGGCATCAACTGTACCCCCTGGAATTGAAGTTCCATGTATTTTAAGCCACTGGGAAAGGCTGTAAGCAAGAAAAAATGTCATACTCATTACTACAATTCCCTCTGGTATCTACGGCATTGGCCCCCTGTATGTGCACTGCAACAGATGTCCAATGCATGGAACCTGAAAATTATAGAATCATGAAGGACAAAAGAAATCGGTCCCCCATATTCCATAGCTGAGAAATCTGAGACCCAAGTGGTTAAATTGGGTTAGTCAAAGTCATTGGATGTTTAGTTAATGGCAGCTACAGTTCAGATATTCCTACACTGAATTCAGTGTTCTTTCTTGTGTGAGGTTGCTTGTCAGAAGAATGAATGAATGACTTCACAAACTTTGCACAATCAACAGAGGTCAGAAAAAGAGACTAAAGTCAAATAGTAAATGTAATTAGTTGGGTAAATTATATTTGTTGATTTAACTGATTTTTTTCTTGTTTCAATCGAGCATTTACTTTATAGCCTTAAATATACTTTTAATGATTTAAAATTTTCAATGAATGCAAATATACCCAAACAAGTCAGATTTCAATAGTGTGATTCCAATTCATTTAAAATAGATATGACTTGCCTCAAGTAATGACATCAGCACAATGAAATCAATATCTTTTTACTTGTCTTTACATGACAATCGTGAAGGCTGCAAGCAATCGACATGATGTCCCTATTGTGCAACTCCTTGAAGGAAAAAAATTAAAGGAAAACTAATACATGCAAATGAACTCTGAAGCAATATAACACCAGATATTCACTTGCCAGAATTTTAAACCACATCATCCTTTATAAACACAAATCTTAACCTCCAGATCTCTCTTTTTAAAAACTGAACAAACATTTGACATCTCTGGATTTCATTTCTTTCTTTTTCCTGTTTACCTTAAGAAAGAGAGGTTTGAGAAGATAAATGGGGATGAAAAATGAACACAAGAGTGGAGAGTAGGATACATTATCCAGACACTGTAAAGCAGAAATCGCCAGTTCCTGGAAGAAGAGAAAAATATGCCAAGACGTGGTCAGGAAATGTACCTACAGAGTTCCTACTTTCTCTGCCACCCTCTCATCCCCACTCCCTGGAGTGAGCTGATAATCCTACCACTCACCACGGACAAACAGAAAATGGATAAAGCCCCCAAACCCAGATATACCACAAGGGCCAAAGCTGAAACCAGCCACACCACTCCCTTCAATGCAAATAACTATCATATGTCATAAAAAAGTAACAGCTTGGAATTACAGTGGGTCCTTTAAAGACCAATTAGTCTAAACCTTCCTTGCCTATTTTACAGAAGAAAACTTGAGATCAACAGAAATGAAGTCTCACAAAGGCACAAAATTACTGGAAAACAAACTAATTCCTAATACTAATTTCACTACCAGAACGGTGACAATAAAAGCCAATTTCAATAGAGTAGGCTTTTTATTAAAGAATTGGTGCTTCCAGCATTTTAATTACTCTTTTACTCATTTCTCACAGGTAGAGAAAAATTTTAAATGCCAGCAAGATTATTGAGACTCTCACTTTGAACCAAAACAGACCTTTCTGATAACTAAAATTAAGGGATTAGTGAGTACGTTGTTTTCCTCCAGTGATTTAGCGAAATCATATTAAAGCTAAAACATCAGGTCTTCCAAGGGTCGCAAAGGTCTCAAGACCATGAAGTGCCTTCCACAGACAGCCACAGTCCTCTGCCCTGACCTGCCAGGTAACCATGAAGCTGGACAGGCTGGGTTTTATCAGTCGCCTAAATGCAGACTTTTAAAGAATGTGACCCCCGTAACTAACACTCCAAAACAGGGCTTCACAAAAAGAAGAAAGCTTTTCCTTACCCTTAAAAATAACAGATACAATTGGATCCGGTTTCCCAAATTTCGTTTTAGGTATGTTACTGGCGGATTCCACAATCACTCGAAGCATGGCTGTTGGCAGAAAGCAAGTTTCAGCAAACGAAGTTCAGGGACGCGGTTGGAACTCCGGCCCTCCGCCCTGGGAGAGTTTGTCTCTCCCAGAGAAGGGAGGGTTTCTCCCAGGGAGCGGGGTGGGCAGAATGTCAAATGGGTGGACCTTTGACAGATTATTTACTGAGGGCTCCGTGTAAATTGATATCCAGACTCCGTGAGTCTCCACAGTGCCTCAGGCACAGACTTGTGAATTCAGAAAATGTGGAAGTGAAAATAACAAAAACCTCAACAAAAAATGATTTTGTGCAACAAGTGAAACTAAAATGAATTTGGAGCTAATAAACGCAGGCAAGTCAGGAAACTACTAAAATGTTGTTACCTTTCTGTAATAACTTGTGAAATCAAATTAATTGGTTTTTCTGGCACCTTTTTCAACCTTTTCTGAGTTTACTGGAGTTTTAAAAAGTTGTTTGATTTTTAAAAAATGTTTTACTTTTGCCATTTGTCGTGCTGTTAAACACATGCACTCAGCAGTCACTTAAAGACACCTTTTTAAAAGCAGTTGAAAGACGACCCCTACTGTATGACAAAGGAATAACAGGTTATTTCAAGTAAATCCATTCAGACGGCTAATATACAGGTTTTAAAACTGATGTTGGGAGCTGATCCTTTACTTTATAACAGGATTCGCCATAGGATTTCTGTTTAAAATCCTTCAGAAGCTAGAATCTGGTTTTCCTAAGGTCTTCATGGGAAATGGAGAGGTGACTGTCTGGGGACCTGTACCTGAGTGTGTAGAGTAACCTGGTGGTACAGAACAGAAGAGACCCCAGGTTAATAGTCCACCAGGCCTGAATGTGAGCCTCAGCTTCATCACCAGCAAGTTTCTTAACCACTCCCTGCCTCAGGTTCCTTGTCCGCAAAACAGACACAAGATTTGTTATAAGACAAATGTCACACTAGGCCTAGAACACACACCGAGTTCAGTGAATTATACATATGCACACCAGAAATTCATGCTTATATCCTTGATTTTCATCATTACCATTAGTACAAGTTGACTTTAGACCAGAATACCATTTTATTTCAGAAGATAAGGCCAAAAGAGTATAATGAAACAGAGGACTTTTTGCTTCTGAGTACACAACACAAGAAGAGCCATGTGCAAGCAAACATGTAAAGTGCTTTGAGAGAGTATGGTTTAACCTGCAGAATGCTGGCTGTGAGTTCTTCAAACCCTTACATAAAAAAGGAACCAACTATCCAGTGCTACATACATTATTGGATTTAGTGGACACAGAGTTTTAGTGGAATGTGGATGGCATTATTTTTTTGGCTGTTTTTTTAAATTTAAAAAATTTTAAATGTCTTCTTTTTACTTTGAAATATGTGCTCCAAAAAATGCGTACAACAAATATGACAGTTGCACAGGCCTCCATGGCAAGAAAGAGAATATTGCCAGCACTCCAGAAGCTGCCCTGGGCTAGCCATATGTCATAGCTATTTCCTCCTGACTCGAATTTTTATAGGTGTATAGTTTTATTTTTATTACTACATGTTTGCAGTACATTATGATTAAATCTCTTGCAGGCAGTTGGTACATATATATATATAACATATCTTAATTCTCTTTCAACCCCTTCCCTCCCTATTCCCTCTCTATTTTGATCCCCTTCCTGTTTGAGAAAGGTATATTTTCCTACCTCATTGCATCTATCTTTTATTTTGCCCTTTATTTATATTGTGGGTTTCTCATATAAGGGAATTATCACAAGATAATTAAGCTTGTGTGTCTATTTTATTCCATTCAATTTTATTGTCCTAAGTTGCGTCCATTTTTCTAAAGTGACTCAAGTTAATCCTTCTTTTTTTCTTTCTTTTTTATTGAGGTTATTGGTACAATCTAGGTATACAAATACAATTACATTCATCATTGGGATTCTGTACCTTTACATAATAGGTCTTGATTCTCATTTTTCCCCTTGTCCCTGCCCTCCCT